TCAATCTTCCTGCACGCTCCTGTGGTCCTCAGGACCTGGGGCTCATTCCCTGCAATCCTTCCCCGCCAAGTCTACGGTGTCCCTCCCAGACCTGGGGCTCTTCCCCTCAATCACTTGCCCGCCAGCCCTCCTGGTGGGTCCTCCCAGGACCTGGGCTCTTCCTCATCTTCCGCCGACGTCCACTGGTGGTTCCCAGGACCTGGGGCTTTCCGCCTCCAATCGCTTCCCCGCAGCTCTGGTGGTCCTCCAGGACCTCGGGGCTTTCCCTAAATCTTCCCCGCACGATAATGGTGGTCCTCCCAGGACCTGGGCTTCCCTCAACCTTCCCCGGCACGCTCCTTGTGGTCTCCAGGGACCTGGGGCTCTTCCCCCAATCTCTTCCCTGTGATGTCTGGTGGTCCTCCAGGACCTGGGGCTTCTTCCCTCATTCCCCGCAGTCCTGGTGGTTCCTCCCGGCCTGGGGCTCTTCCCCTCAATCCTTCCCGCACTGTCTGGTGGTCCTCCCAGGACCTCGGGGCTCTTCCTTCATCCTTCTTGTGAGCTTCCTGAGTAGGTCTCCAGGTCCTGGGGCTCTACCCTCAATCCTTCCTGTGAGTCCTGGTGGTCCTCCCAGACCTGGGGCTCTTCCTCAATCCTTCCTGGTGAGCTCTGGTGGTCTCCCGGACCTGGGGAGCTATTCCCTCCAATCTTTCCGTTGGCTCCTGGTGTCCTCCCAAGACCTGGGGCTCTTTCCCGTCAATCCTCCCCGGCAAGTCCTGGTGGTCCTGCAGACCTGGGGCTGCTTCCCTCAATCTCCGCCGCCGCTCCTGGTGTCTCCAGGACCTGGGGGTCTTCCCTCAATCCTTCCCCGCGGCTCTGGTGGTCCTCCAGGGACCTGGGGCTTTTCCCCTCATCCCTTCCCGCCGCTCCTGGTGTCCTCCCAGACTGGGCTCTTCCTCAATCCTTCCCGCACGCTCCTGGGTTTGGTGCTCCAGGACCTGGGGCTCTTCCTCTCAAAATCATTCCCTGTGAGCTCCTGGGTGGTCCTCCCAGGACCTGGGGCTCTTCCCCTCAATCCTTCCCCGCACGCTCCTGGTGGTCCTCCCCGCGATCCCTGGCTCTTCTCCGAGGAGCTCCTTCAACAGGTTTCCTCTCCCGGCTGGAGCCTAAGACCCCATTCACCCCTGCAGGGACTCCGGCCTGCCCCACCGCCTCTCTCCTGATCCCTGGATGCCCCCAGGAGGGGCTGCTGCTGCTCCCGCACCTGCCCAGCAGAGCTGCCCACCTCCGTGTCACCTTCTACTCGCCCAGGCGGCAAATGTGCCTACGTGTCTTTGAGCGAGGGCACGTGGAGTCAGAGCATCTGGAGAGATCATTTTGGTGGTCAGAGCAGTTACTTGAAACAGACCTTTGACATCTCCTTGAGCAGCGGCAGAGACCCCTGGCCTCGCAAACCCCCTGTGTGATCTTGAGGCAGAAGCAGGCTGTAGGCACGGAGGCAGGTCAGGGGGCAGGAGCGGCCGGCATCAAAGCTGGCAACCTCTCCTCTCATCCTGACCTGGAGGAGACTGCTGAGGAGCTGTAGGCTGGCCTCGGCCATCCTGGCCATCCTCGGCTGTGTCCAGCCATCCCCGGCCATCCCCTGTGCCCACCAGCTTATGCCAGAATCTGTGTGGCAGGAGGGGCTGGCCAGGGAAAGGGTTAAGTTTAATTTCTCCTGATTTCTATTTAATATCATGCTCTCCCGGCAGGGGCGGCAGCTGTGAGCTGATTGCAGGCTCTCATTATGCAGGCGGCATCGCTAATGGCCTGTGACAAAGGCATGCGGCTTCCAGGCCTTACCCCCGAGAGCCAATTAAGCACACATACTCCCTTCCTGTTTGCAGCACGTTACAATGAAATTAAACTGAATTTCAAAATCATTTTCTCCTAAAGACATCTCTTTACAATAATTAATGCATGCGATTCCGCCCCGGCTGAAATACGCATCGGCACCGGTGACTACGAGTGTTTCCGCACTCACAGCCCCACATCTCACATGGCTGCCCTCCCCACGGCTCAGGGAGCCCCGCGACTCGCAAAATCCACAGGGCTGTGGTTCCTGTGCTTTCAAAGAAAAAAACATCTTCAGCTTTTTATCCGAATTTAAAAATAAAAGAACTGACCAGGAGCGGTAGCTCACACCTGTAATCCCAGCACTTTGGGAGGCTGAGGCGGGTGGATCACCTGAGGTCAGGAGTTTGAGACCAGCCTGGCCAACATGGTGAAACCCATCTATACTAAAAATACAAAAATTAGCTGGTGTGGTGGCAGGTGCCTGTAATCCCAGCTACTTGGGAGGCTGAGGCAGGAGAATCACTTAAACCCGGGAGGCGGAGGTTGCAGTGAGCCGAGATCGCACCACTGCGCTCCAGCCTGGGCGACAGAGCAAGACTCCATCTCAAAAATAAATAAATAAATACATACACAAATAAGGAAATAAAAGAACCGCAGCACGAGTCAGGTTGGGGTCGGGGCATTCAGAGGGCACTGCAGGGAGGCTCCGAGCAGGACCCGCTCTAGTCAGGTTCCTGTAATTCTGCGCTTGAAGGGAAGTCATGGACAGGCTTGTTCCCCCAGCTCAGTGTGCACTAATGGGGATGTATAAAAAAGATAAACTGGGAGTGTTTGATGTGCTGACCATGTCCTGTCGCAGAGAGGCTTCTAGGGCCCCAGCCCTGGGTCCTCTGCTGATGTCCGGCCCACGGAGGTGCCTCCCAGGATGCCTTGGGAAGCCTGTGAGACGCTGCGTAGGGCACTGGCCTCTGCTCTAGGAGCTCATGGAAACTTCGCTTTGCAAACGTGCGGAACGACCACACACCTAGCACACCTGCCTCACAGCAGCACATGCTCCAGGGCCTCTGGGACCCACAGGATCAGGCCATGAGGCGGCGAGGCTGCGGGCCAACATGGCCCCTTCCAGCACCCCTCAAGGAGCCCGTCCCGCCTACATGCTGCATCCCCCCAGCTCTGCTCCCTGTGGAAAGGCACAGGGCAGACGTGTTTCTGATTTCGGGTCAACAGATTCTGATGTGTGATAATGGGCCTCTCTTTTTGGAAAACATTACTTAAAGGTTATTATAAAATAATGATGTTCAGCATAAAATACAGACAGGCCAAAAAAAAGGAAAAGAAAAACCACCACAATCTCACTGCCCAGGGGTCAGGAGCAGCACGCACATCTTCCAGATAAACACACCACAGTGAGTACTTGCAGCCACACGCCCACCGGGGTCCCGCTCTCCCAACGCCCACCCAGGCAGTCCGCCCTCCGAAGGCCCACCCACGCGGTCCGCCCTCCGAACGTCCACCCACGCGCGTCCACTATCCAAATATCCATCCACATACGTCCACCATCCAAATGTCCATCTGAGAGGACCAGCTGGATTTCGTGGGCCAACTAAGAATGCCTAAGCCTAGCTGGGAAGGTGACCGCATCCGCCTTTAAGCATGGGGCTTGCTCACACCGACCAGTCAGGTAGTAAAGAGAGCTCACTAAAATGCTAATTAGGCTAAAACAGGAGGTAAAGAAATAGCCAATCATCTATCGCCTGAGAGCGCAGTGGGAGGGACAATGGTCCGGATATAAACCCAGGCACTGGAGCCCGGAACGGCTACCCTCTTTGGGTCCCTTCCTTGGTATGGGAGCTCTGTTTTCACTCTATCAAATCTTGCAACTGCGCTCTCTTCTGGTCCGTGTTTATTACAGCTCGAGCTGAGCTTTCGCTCGCCATCCACCACTGCTGACAGCCACCGTCGCAGACCCGCCGCTGACTTCTATCCCTCCGGATCCGGCAGGGTGTCCGCTGTGCTCCTGATCCAGCGAGGCGCCCATTGCCGCTCCTGATCGGGCTAAAGGCTCGCCACTGTTCCTGCATGGCTAAGTGCCCAGGTTCGTCCTAATCGAGCTGAACACTAGTCACTGGGTTCCACGGTTCTCTTCCATGACCCACAGCTTCTAACAGAGCTATGACACTCACTGCATGGCCCAAGATTCCATTCCTTGGAATCCGTGAGGCCAAGAACCCCAGGTCAGAGAACACGAGGCTTGCCACCATCTTGGGAGCTCTGGGAGCAAGGACCCCTTAGTAACACATCCACATACGCCCACTATCCAAATGTCCATCCACATACGTCCACTATCCAGATGTCCATCAACATACGCCCACTATCCAAATGTCCAAATATCCACTGTCCAAATATGCCCCATGGGGTGGGACGCGGGATCCTGGGACCAAGCCAGCTTCTCACAAAGGAGGGGCCAGGCGGCAGCGGCTCAGGGCAGGCTCAGGGAGAGCAGGAGGGTGGCAGTGGCAGCTGCCAGTAGGCTCCAGGGGTGCTGCCGTCTCTCCTGACCGCCACAGGCTTCCTGGGCCACCTCAGTCAGGCAGGCAGGTTCCTGCTCACCCACAGGCCTGTTCTGGCAGACAGAGAGAATGTGCTGATTTGTGGAACAGTAAACGAACAGCTACACTGCAAACCAACCACACTGTGGCCACTGACTTCTGACCCCGGTGGGGAGAAGGATGTGGAGGGCACAAGTGTGGCTGAGCATGGGCGTGGTGAGGTCTCTGGGTGCAGGGTGCAGGGGTGCACCTCGGAGGTGGAGGGTGCCCCAGTCCACGAGGGGCAGCAGGGGCCACCAAGACAGGCTGTGTGGGGCCCAGTGTCTGTGGTCAGGGTACGTGCGTGCCAGAGCGGCTGTCGTGCTGAGGACAACGTGGAAGCCTTGTCACAGGGCACCAGGGCCCCTGGCACTGAGGGACAGGGCCAAGGAGCCTGCTCTAGAGGCAGGTGGGGAGGCTGGGTGCTCAGGAGGCAGCACCGTAACAGCAGCACCCAGCCCCACCCCACCCCATCTTCTGCCTTTGGCTGAAAATTCTGGGAATTCCCAGCCTCGGTGCCACTCAACCTGGGCAGCGAGTTGAGTTCTTGCCTGTTCCCCTCGGGGTCTTCTCCACTCCCACGGGGCTGGGTCCTACCTGTCTTAAACCAGCCATCCAGGGTGAATGCACTTTTAGTTTCTTCTGGTTTATTCCAGTACTCTCGAAACACGGAGGGTCCCCTCACCAGCAGCTCCCCCTCCTTCTCTTCAAGCCCTGGGGTCACCTGTGGAGGATGAAGAAGATGGAGGTCAGAGCCGGGCACACCCTCTTGGGATTGGCCCTTTCACCTTGTGGGCCGCTTCCAGCCCACCAAGGGCCGCGTGCTTTCTGAAACTGAGTGCTTTTTTGGAATGTCTGGAAAACGCAGGTTTCGACAGGTAGAAGCCAACCATGCTAAGCTAAGCGTTCCCCGCTGTCCTCTGCAGGCCCTGGTGCCCCGGCCGGGAGCTGGGTGTCCCCACTGTCCTCTGCGGGCCCTGGTGCCCTGGCCAGGAGCTGGGTGTCCTTTCATTCCTCTCAGAACAGCCACAGAAGTAGGTGCTCCTACCCCATCCTCTAGACTCGAGCACGTAACCGGCCCAGGCCTCAGCACTCAGGGCCTGAGCTAGATCCAGGCAGCCTGTCCACGTCTAAAACCTGTGCCCAAATCCCACCTTCGGGGTGTTTCTCAAACCAGGGAACACAGCAGCGGGCATCTGTCCACCCCTCGCCTGCAGGGGCTGTGGCAGCTCGGAGCCGGCAGTGCCCTCTGCAGGGCTGAGTGACCAATCACAAGAGGGAAGACTCCGTGGGAAGGGAAGGTGGGGCCCGAGGGTGGGGGGTTCCTGGAGGCCCGTTACGCACGCGGGTACTGCTGTGGCCCCAGGAAGCACAGCCTCGCCGTTCTTCTACTGTGACCGTGAAGAGGGCAGGAGGGAGGCTGGGTTATGTGAGCCTGGGCTGGGGGTCCCAGAAGCACCAGGAACAGATGGCGTGAGCACGTGGGAGGCCCCGGACACGGTGGGTCTGTGAAGACACCGGCCGAGCCCTCGGCTCATAGGTCAGGAGGGTCTGGGGAGGGCAGAGATGGAGCAGGGGCTTCAGGTGAGCAGCTGCCAGCTCCACGACCCTCACCCTTCTCAACTGTGAAAGTGGGCAGTGCCCTCCGCAGGGCTGTGAAAGCGTCTGGCTGTGACCCAGGAGGTCAAAGGATGTGTACAGAGTCTCACCGAGGCTCATCACCTGCCATCTGGAACGGACTTCAAAAAACCAGGGTCCAGGGAAGTAGACAGCGAAAGAGCAGAACCTATTTATCTGACGCGGAGAAAGGACGCTGAGACGTCCTGGGGCCAACGCTGCCCCACGGCAGATTCCACCCAGTGTGTCGTCCTGTTGCCAACCTGCCAGCCTGGGCTCCTCCAGGAGGGGCTGACGCCACCCACAGGGGTGGAACCCCTGCCCCGCATGGTGACAGGGTTGTCCGCACAGTGCCCGGCCTAACTCCTGCTGCTCAGAGCCTTGCGTTTGTTTTTTCAAATGAAACCACGGACTTTATCTGATTTCGTGAATGTTTTCACTGCTGTCTTTTATCTGCTCCACTGCCATGGTCAGACTGGCCACTGGTCAGTATGTTTGTGGGACATGTAGAGACAGCAAGGCAAAGGCCCTAAAAATAAAATGACATTGAGACCAATCCCAGGGAAGGAAGGTCAGACTTCGCAGTTAAGCCAACGAGGTCACAGTAAAACAAACACCTCAACATCTTTATAGAACGTCAACAAGACCAAGAATCTCATCCCTAACATTAAAAATGTCCAGGGTACAATACAAAGTTACTCAACACAGGAGAAAACCGGAAAAATAGCAACTCATATAGAAAAAGAATACGACAGCACTGAGACGACACAGTTATTGAAATTATCTGAAAAAGACTTTAAAGCACTATTACAAAAATGCTCCAAAACGTAAGGGCACACTTTGGAAGGCTGAGGTGGGCAGACTGCTCGAGCTTGGAAGGCTGAGGCGGGCAGACTGCTCGAGCTTGGAAGGCTGAGGCGGGCAGACTGCTTGAGCTCAGGTGTTTGAGAACAGCCTGGGCAACATGGCAAAACCCTGTCTCTACAAAAAAGACAAAAATTAGCAAGGTGTGGTGGTGCGTGCCTGTAGTCCCAGCTACTTGGGAGGCAGAGGTAGGAGGATCGCTTGAAGTGGAGGTTGCAGTGAGCTGAGACTGCAGCACTGCACTCCAGCCTGGCTGACAGAGTGAGACCCTGTCTCAAAAATAAATAAATAAATAATAAAAAATTAAAAAAAAGAACAAATAAAAAAGAAAGGGCAAACACTTGGAAATAAATGGAAAAACAGTCTCAACAAAGAAATAACAGATATAAAGCAGAACCAAACGAAAACTTCAAAAGTGAAAAATACAGAAATAAAAAATGTCACGAATTGGCTCAAGAGCAGAAGGACGATGAAGAAATGAATCTGACAACTTGAAGAAAGAGCAACAGAAATGACCCAAAATCTGAACAGAAAGAAAAATAGCCAGGAAAAGTAAACACAAAACACACAAAGGGCTAACAACGTTCATGTTACTGCAGTGACAGAAGAAAAGACTTAAGTGCAGAAAGACGTTTGATAAAACTTGGCTAAAAACTCAAAATTTGGTGAAAACATAAGCCTATAAATTAAAGAAGCTGAGAGAATCACAGACAAGACAAACCGAAAATGTCCAAGCCCAGACACATCATAATCCAATCACTGACACACAGAGAGGAACAAGGGTTCCCACGACCACTGATTTCTCCACAGAAACAATGAAGGCCAGAAAGAAGTGGAGTTTTATTATTATTATTATTATTTTTGAGACAGAGTCACACTCTGTCACCCAGGCTGGAGTGCAATGGCATGACCTCGGCTCACTGCAACCTCCACCTCCCAGGTTAAAACAATTCTCCTGCCTCAGCCTCCCAAGTAGCTGGGATTACAGGTGTGCGCCACCACGCCTGGCTAATTTTTGTATTTTTAGTAAAGATGGGATTTCCCTACGTGGGCCAGGCTGGTCTCAAATTCTTTTTGTTTTTTTTTTGAGACAGAGTCTTGCTCTGTCGCCCAGGCTAGAGTGCAGTGGTGCAATCTTGGCTCACTGCAAGCTCCGCCTCCCAGGTTCACGCCATTCTCCTGCCTCAGCCTCCCCAGTAGCTGCGACTACAGGTGCCCACGACCAGGTCCGGCTAAATTTTTGTATTTTTTTTTTCAGTAGAGACGGGGTTTCACTGTGGTCTCGATCTCCTGACCTCGTGATCCGCCCGCCTTGGCCTCCCAAAGTGCTGAGATTACAGGTATGAGCCACCGTGCCCAGCTCAAATTCTTGACCTCAGGTGATCCACCCCTCCTGGCCTCCCAAAGTGCTGGGATTCTAGGCATGAGCCACCACATCCAGCCAAGAATCATATTTTTAAAGTGCTAAAAGAAAATAATTGTCAACCCAGAATTCCTAATCCAATGAAAATATCCTTCAGAAAGGAAAATAAAATAAAGACATTCTTAGATGAAGAAAAATAAGATAATTTGTTGCAAGCAGATCTGATCTAAAATAATTCCTGTAGAATGTCCTTCAGACAGAAAGAAACTGATATCAGAAGGAGACTTGGTACATTGGGAATACAGGAAAAGGAACAGAAGCGGCAAACAGTTGGATGAATGAAGTTGAGTTCCTTTCTTCTGAAGTTCTCTAAAATATTTTTGACTGTTGAAAGCAAAAATTACCATTTTGTCTAATGGAGTTGACAACAAATACAGGTATTACGCTAATCACGCCCTAACGGCAGAGGGTAAGGAACCGACATGGAGGCAGGGATGTTGCTCTACATTCTTCTGGAAGTGTTGAAATGTTGACTCTAAGGAGACTGTAAAAAGGAAGTATGTACATTGTAGTCTCTGGAACTATTACGGAAAAAACTATGCAAAGACATTTACGCTAAAAAACTTGAGACAAATTAAAACGGAATACGAAAAAATAACCTCAAAGAAGGCAGTAAAGTTAAGCAATAAAACCCTCAGGGAACAAAAGTAAACAAATAGTAAAGTGGTAGACTTAAATTCAAGCATATCAATAATTACATTAAATGTAAATGGTCTAAACATACCAATTACAAAGCTTGTCAGGCTGGAGTAAAAAAACACACATAATCCAACTGCATGCTGTCCATAAGAAACTTCCCTCAAATACAATTATACATGCAAACGCCAATCAAAAGAAATTAAAATAGCTATATTAACATCAAAGTAAACTTAAGAGCAAAGAGTATTACCAGAGCATTAAATGTTAATAAGAGTCAATTCACCAATAAGACACAATCATTATAAATGTGAATGTACTAAACAACAGACTTTCAAAATATATGAAGCAAAAACTGAAAGCGGAAACAGGCAGTTATAGTTGGAAAATTCAACCCCTTCTTTAGTAACAGAACAAGTGGTGAGAAAACCAGTGAGGATATAGAAGAACTGAACACCAAGATCAAACACCTTCACCTAATTTACAGAACAGACATTTACTAAAACAAGCAGGACACACACTCTCGCTCGGTCCCCCAGGCTGGAGTGCAGCGGCACAATCCAGAGCTCACTGCAGCCTCAAACTCCCAGGTTCAGGTGATCCTCCCACCTCGGCCTCCTGAGTAGCTGGGACAAAAGGCATGTAACACCACGCCCAGCTAATTTTTTTTTTAAACTTTTTGTAGAGATGGGGTCTCACTATGTTGCTCAGGCTGGGCTCAAACTCCTGGGCAGTGATTCTCCTGCCTTGGCCTCCCAAAGTGTTGGGATTACAGGTATGAGCCATGGCACCTGGGCAGAATATATACTCTTTTCAGGTACACCAGAACATTCTTGAAAAGAAACCACATTGTGGGCCATAAAACACAACTTAACAAATTTAAAAGAATTGAAATATACCAAGCATGTCTTTTGACTGCAATGGACTTAAACTAGAAGTCAGTAACAGAAAGATAATGGAAAACTATCCAAATATTTCAAAAATATGTGCTGTACTTCTAAATAATCCACAAGCCAAAGAGGAAGTCTTAAGGAACATTAAAAATATCCTGAACTAAATGAAAATAAAAATATATCAAAATTTAGGCCGGGCATGGTGGCTCACGCCTGTAATCCCAGCACTTTGGGAAGCCAAGGCGGGCTGAACACTTGAGGTCAGGAGTTCGAGATCAACCTGACCAACAT